ATCTGAGCTTATCTGACGCGCTTTGGAGAGAAATTACATATACTCATCCCAGTCAAAACGCCGTCTTGCAGGGCTTTGGCGTAATCGCAGAGAATTTTTTCTGAGAGGGGCCAAAGAATTTGCAGAAAGCATTGAAGCAGTTCCAAGGCACACCTCTTTCTGGCTGGAGTTGTTTATAATTTTTTAATATTTTATACTTCTTCAAATTTTGCGACCTAGCTTAGGGAGAGGAAGAGCTGCTCGTTCTTTCATTAGCTGTGTAAATGCGATTGATCTTTTTGAAATCTTCATTCTAACGACTTTTTTGCCCAGAGTTGCATTGCAAAAATAGACAAGTCGACCATAGAATGGCCTTTATATGTAGCTTTTCGTGTGCATTGGCAGCAATGTTTACAAGGAAGCCATAAAATTTCATAGAAAGCTAAGAAGACAAGCAACGTTTACAGCATAATTTTTATAGATGAACAATAATCCCGACAATACAATGTCCACCTGAATGCCGTGCATAATAGAAAACACAGTTCAATGCGCACAGCACTTGCATATTGTTGGAGTACAATAAATAACGGTTGAGTTTATATGTTAAAGTACTAGTAGTGTCTGGTTTAGAATGGAAGCACTAGTGAAACCTTTTGTTAGAACGAGCGTTTCGGCTTTAGAGACATTAGAAACACCTAGTCCCTTTCAGACTTCTAAAGCCTTTAGTCTCTTTTGTTCGCTTAGTTCAAGACATTTCAGAAAGCGATGGAGAGGCATAAGCTCTCCTCTCATAATTTTAACGGAAGTAGTCTAGCCCCTCGAGAAAGAAGGTAAAATTATTTTCGCCTCATAGAGCTTTAAAAATCCTCACGTTTGATTAGAAAAGCAAATCATTTTTGGTCAAAATCTTTTGTGACAAGTGAAAAATTTTATAAGAGATTTCGACTGCCGTTGGACGCTCTATCTAAAATGGCCTTCAAATTCTCTTAAAGTAACAAAACTTCTTATTGACTACGCCCACATTGTCTTAAGATCAGTGAAGTAACTAGAGGATGCAGCCACTCGATCATCCATCATAGTAGCAACTCTTCGTTGTTCTCGTTTTCTCAATCGACCAAATTTCTCACTGCGTAATGTCAACGCCAGACCAAAGAAAAGACGTTGATACGCAAATAGCTGAAAGTTTGAAATTATTTATTTAAAGAGGCATCTATCAGCTTAGTTTGCTTTACCAGATCGTAGGCGTGGCTCAAATGTGTGGTGTCGTGACCAAGTGGAATATCCGTGAAAAATACTGAATAAGCAAGCAGAGATATATAGATTATCTGCAAAAATTGGGTTATAAAAATTGAAAATTAAACGAGATACAATGAGAAACACTGTTTTCCACTGCTATGAGTCCATCTTTATCAGAAGTTACGGACGTGGTGGAGATCTGATAGATTGGGTGTCAATATTTTTGCAAACAGAGTAATCTGTGTGCAGTTTTTGTCACGACAACGTGTTTCTACATTATTTAGAAATTTCATAAATTTCTGATTTCACTGTACAGATCCACTCAATAAATGAAAATACGTATTACTTTGACTGTCCTTCTTTGGTTACCCTCACCCATTTTGTAAAAGTAGGGGGATGACTGAAAGCGAAAGTCAAATGCAACACCCTTGCTATTTTTGACATGATGAATCTTTAGATTTTCATCTTGCAAAGCTTTTTGGGCCATTCTACAAAAGTTTTACTCTCATTATTACTTCAAACGTGTATCTGTTTCATGATGACCTATCAATAATTCAAATTTAAGATCAACCTGAACGTAGGTTCCTTTAAAAACGCGCCAAGCTTCTTGGTTTT